GTGCGCAAGAATGATAATCTATCCTTTTATTATTTTTGAGTTATTGCTCTTTATTATTTTTCATTTTGTCAAGAGCTTATCTCAAAAACTGTTAGAGGTATCAACTTCAAACTTTATAGAGAGATAGAGTGCAGCACACAAGAATGATAACCTACCCAGCATTATTTTTCTGTTATTGCCCTTTGTTATTTTCAGCCATCAACATTCATTTAGGTTTCAAATCTGTAATCACTTCAGCCATCAGTTTTCATGATCAAGAGACCTCTTAAAATTGAATCATTCTGGTCTACTGCATATACAGTGAAAGTTGAGAAAACCGGACGCTGAGAAAATCGGAACTCTCTAAATACCGGACGAATAATTCAGTCCCAAATTTTTCCTTCTTTAAAGTATTGTATTAAACATTGACAATACCGGAATCTGTAAAAACCGAATATCGGACGGTTGATAGGGGACTACAAAGTGAAATATATAGATAATTACCCTGACAATACCGGACGACGAAGGTGTGAATAATCTTGTGTACTTATCAATTGGTTGTGCCTTATACGCCAACTGAGCGGTAACGGAACACTGATTATCTGATTTGTTTATTATGTCTCTTTTCACAGTTTGATATATTGTTAGGTATAGATGTTACCGTTTTATATAAATGCCAAAATGCACGAGGAATTGATCAGTTAAAATCAGTATGAATAAAAAACAGAGTATTTTTATACTGCGTTGCTTTATGTATATTCATTTCCCAAAATGACAACGCAACGGAAACGACATTTATCGGCGTTAAGTTCTATTCCATGGCCGAAAAGAATTCGACGAGAGCTGTCTATAAATAACAAATTTAAATTAATTAAAGACAGTGAAACTTTGCCGATACCTACTTTAAAAATCTTTATCTGACAAATATGGTATCGACAATATTTACAATTGGGGCATTATTATAAACAAAGTGAACTATGTTCGTTAAATCATTATCCATTACCCAAACGGACTTTATCGTTGCGAGGAAACTATTGTTTGTTTAAATCTAAATTTTTATTGTATTTATTTGCAATAATGGGACAAAAACAATTATATATAGGATCCTGAACAGCTGAAGGGGACATTCAGAAAACCGGACCGCTGAGAAAACCGGACAAAACACTCGGTCCGAAAGCCGTCCGGTTTTCTCAACTTTCACTGTACATTCTTCCAATGAGCAAACACATTCGGCGGGGATGGCCATGTTAACATATTTCTTGTTGATTTGATATTTGAGTTTCGTTTATTCATTTTGGTTCTGTTGTACAAGTCCAAGTACATACATTATTGTTATAATATTATATTGATACACCTAATATACAAGCATCATTTTATTGCAGTAACGGGTAAACTCTTTATAAAATATTATAAAAGAGTTTACCCGTTACTGCAATAATATGCCGATATGTATTATATAGAATAATGAAGTTATTCATGTGATCATAAAGGATTATCTTTGTTATCTTGTGTTTCAGTCTAACTATGACTATTTCTAAGACAAACATTTACAAGATGATGTAATTGGTTTGCGTATGTTTTTTTAATTAATTGTCTTACCATTTTGTTTCAGTTTTTCTCAAAGAATAAAACAAGAAAACTTATCACAATAGAGACGACAGATCCTAAATTTCAATCTAGAATAGGAATAGTCAAGCATCCGAGTTTCCAAGATTATAAAACTTTGAATGCTATGTATAAATGTGAAGTTAAGTATGTGTGGTTACGGCTGAATAAAATGTTATATGCAGTGTTGTTTACTTACATTAAAGTATTTTAGCATTCTACGTCCAAAGGTGTGTAAAAACGTCAACTAATTATATATGATCTACGCATGAATTTATTTCAATTTTAACTACTAAATATAATGCAACATATACTTATGAAAAATTATTTGATATTGATAAACTGATTGAATACGAATTCTGTTTTAGTCGCCATTTTGAGGTCGGCACTAGACACCATATCTTGTTTAAACCAGACAAACTGCCGCAATTGTAATAGCGTTGTAATCGTTAAATAACTTTTTTTTGTCTATAGATATTTGTGCCAAAGTTGAATGTCCTAAAGATGGGTTCCTCGGAAAGCATTGCCAATGTTACTGCAAAGGAAATCCTGATGACACACCTGTTAAACCTTGTTTTGAGAAAGGTATTATATCATAATGCATTCAAAATAGAAATCATATCAATGCTTTTGAAGTATTGCTGTCCCTGATATGATATTTTTGTCAATTTTAACTTAGGGTGCTTTCGAAATTTGTTATCAAAAAGTTATCAAGAAGCAAGTGGACACAAACATTATTCCAAATGGATACAAAATGATTCTGAACGATTCTTAAGCAAATACGAAATGCACATAAACTGTTAAATACACAACGCAATATAATGTTTTATTATATTTTATTTCAAAACTGTTAAAAAATCATACTAATATTCAGTTTCATAACGCAACATAATGATAGGTTCGTGACAATTTTTAACATAAAAATTATATACAAATTGTACCTTTACTGTTTAATACGCAATTTTATTTCTTGGTTTGCTTGTTGTTTTGTGTTTTAATAAAGACTTGTATAATAAAACATAATATAATATATAATAAAGACTGGACAATGTATACCGTCCATGAACATGCTCAATCAAACCGAGCCTGCACCACATTTGTAATTTTGCTGTGTAGGGCTTTCTTAAGGGATTCTTATTTACTCTATTTTATTTCAGAAGAGTGTCCAAAACCATCAATCAATAAATATTTATTTGATGTGTGGAACAAGGAAAACACAAGCACAATCAATATGACCCGTACATCGTTTCCTGACAAGACAGTTTTAAATCTTTTATCAACCAATTGGAATTGTCCATTAGCATCTCAGTTAAGATGTGAAGGGAATACATGGATAACAACAATTTCAGAATGTCCAACTGTACTTGGTAAACTTATTTTTATGTATGAAAATCATTTCCTTCTTAACGTCAAACAGTAAAATTGTCTTCCTTTATTATTTTGACATATTCCTACTCGCACATTGCAAAGAAGGTTTATCTCCGCAGAAAACAATAATCATCTCTCATGAGGCTAATCAATATACAAATTGGACAAGAGATGACGTTCAATGCTAAATGCAGCAGTAAAAACATGCCCAATTTAATTCGATTGTTCTTATAAAAAAACAATTGTAACCACTTGGAAATTAAGTAGGTGTTTTGCTAAAAGCTTATATCTAATAAAATGAGTGTAGTTATATAGTGTAAAAGCTGTCACATCATTTAGGCTGACATTGATTAAAAATATTTGTAACTGGTTAAGAAATGTGATTGAGTATGTACATGAAGGATAATGAAAATTGCAACATCCATCACAGCCCCCTTGATCTTAATATTCAGCACTAAAAGTAATGAAATCTATGATACCGAAGATCCATAAAATAAAACAACACTGGAATGGAGCATTTGTTAAGCTGCCACACGCCAGGTGACACCTGCTATTGTGTGGTATAAATAGTATAAATTATCTATTTTTAATAGATAATCAAATATTTGCATACAATTGTACATCACATTGAACTTGTTAAATCGTTAAAGCTGTGATCCAATTTTAGATATCGAGAGGACTGATGGAAATGAAGGTGTTGTTGAAGTTATTTTAAATGAGGTCTATCGTGGTTATATCTGTGATGACGATTGGGATGATAATGATGCAACTGTTGCTTGTAAAATGCTCGGATATACGTAAGTAAACTGATTGATATGTTCCAAGTAAGCACCCAAACATATTGTGGCTAATTTGTACCATTCGCGTTTTCGCCGTGCGACCCGGCAAATCGACAAGTCGAGAATTGACAGATTTAAAAAATAAAACAGCGTGGTGCGGAACAAAAAGAAACTTATTAGCGGGGTCGCGGGGAGAATTTAATAAATAAAACGTCGCCCGCGGGGGAGCGGAGCGAGATTTAAGAACTGAAACGGCGGGGGCGCGGAGCGGAAACACCCTTACTAGCAGGGGCGCGGGGCGGAGTTAATCAAATAAAACTTTGCCCGCGCCCGGCTTATAAGCGTGTTTCCACTTCGCACCTCCACTATTTTAACTTGTTAATTCTCGACTATTCCATGGCGCACACACGAGGCGAAACTATGAATAGCACAAATCAGCAATATGTTTGCAGAGACATCCCAAGATGTCGCCCAGCCATTGGTATACGCCCATAACTGACAAGTTTTGTATGTTGAAACTGTTTTATCGCAATTTAATTTAAATCAGCAAAAATATATTATTTTCGTGTTTTTCCCTCTTGTGTGCCCTTTCTGTTAAAAATGTAAACCCCTCAGACAATGAACAAATAAAAGCTAATACTGTCGTAAACTATATTTCAGCTATAAGTCTTTTGTGTGCGAGTCTTCAGTGTGCGAGTCTCCAGTGTGGGAATGTTGTTGTTCACTTGTTTTTGCTTTGGCCAAACAAATTTAATAAATTAATGAAATAAAATAGAAATAGGTTGATTTTCAGACTAATGTTATTAACTCGCATTAAGTTTTTCACAGGTAATAATTCTTTTTGTGGATAAACACATAACCATTTTCATTTTTCCGGTCATTTCTAAATCTATGATTTTTGCTATTGGAAATATGTTATCCCTGTCCTATTTCAACCTATGATAGCGCCATTTTATAAGGGGAAATGGGAACATTTAAATTACAACGTTTAGGTTTAAAATATAGTGATGTTCATATATGGGAAATAATTAACAGCCTATGGATTATATAATAGGGAAATCATGTTACAATAACGGGAATTAGTCTTTACAATTAATTAGCCTGATTACGAAAGACCAATTTTGTGTGAAGTTTCAGTTCTAAAACAAAACTAAAATCCGTTTTTTACCTTTTACACTTTTTACCAGGAAAGGTTTGGCTTACTTTCCAAAGCCTAAAGAGGTTAACGATTCTTTACCTATTCTTCTGGACAACGTGCGATGTCGTGGCGAAGAACTTTCTCTTGCTGATTGCAAACATAATGGGTGGGGTAATCATAACTGTTTATATTCTGAAGTGGTATCATTGAAATGCTTCGACGATTCATTTACCAACCATATAAATTCAACGACGAACATAACTTGCGGTAAGAAAACACATTCATTGGACCTTCTGTGAATAATTATCCGTTTTTCACTTTTATAAAATATAAGTTTCCATTTTACAGTTGTAACATTCAGTTTGTTAAGCGGGAATTTATTCCACAATTATTTGATTACCGTCGGATAAATTAGTTTTAGTGTAAACATATTGTATAATCAATTTGACTGATTGAAGGACGAATTTAAAGTTTTGTACACGTTTTGCACTAGTAATATGTACGAAAGAGGAATACCTTTAAATATTTCGGATATTTGTACGGCAACCTGTTTACCAAACTTCAACAACTTCATGTATGTTTACAAACTAAGACTCATTAGCGTGTGCGTGCCAATGCCTATGTATGATCCTTATGAGGTTTCTGACAGTCTTAGCGGGGTTCGCGACCAGCTCTTGAATCAAAATGGCCTATAGCTCCTAGATACCGATATGTTGCACCTTGTTAGCTGCAGTTCATTCCATATGTGCTTAATTGTAATTTCGGTCGAGTGATCGAACTTGCCAGTAAAAGCGCTCGATTTCCGCCCACGACAAGTACTTGTCTCACAGTGTCCTATGGGCGCAGGTTGGTTATGACTAGAATATAACAATTCTTGAATTCACGGCTATTGGGCTTTACGTAATGTCACAGTATGCAACGAAAAACGAAATCCATTAGTTATAATACTTTAATTATAAAATGTATTAACATTTGTTCATTTTTCAAATGTCTAGACTTGTACATATGCCATTGTGACTGCAACTTTTTTGGGCCATAGTGATCTGTAAACACATTTCTTGTTATAAAATATAATATGTTGTAAGACATGTAAGACATGAAACTAAATATTTTTCTGTTTCGTTTTTTAAAATATATATAATATCTAAATCTGAATATATGATTACAAGAGCAGGAAAGCTCTTCAAATATTGTTCTTTTATGTTTTAATGACTAACAATCGGGTTTTTTATTTGTTATTAGCCGCGCCTGATGCAAAGGGTCTATGCCTGGGAAACTGCTATTTGTAATTTGCTGTTTTATATAATGATTTTTTTTTTCTACTCGGAGAAGTAAATTTTTCTTTCGTGATTATTAACTTTAGGTAAAATTAAATTGCATAATTCCAAGAGAAAGAAACGACAAGTAAGGGTAACTGGTGGCTTGGAGACAGTAAGGGTATGCATCCATGGCAAGTAAATATTCAACGAAGAAAGAAACGAAGATGGATTCATTGGTGTGGTGGTACAATTATCAATAACGAGTGGATATTGAGTGCTGCACATTGTTTTGAGTATATCTTTTATGCAAACATTAATGATGATTATTCATTTAATGGCATTCTTTTATCTTGGTGAACATTATCATCTTCGGCTGAATAATACTATCAGATGTTACTCAATGTTAGTTAGCTAAATTTATTTACTTTTATCTCCACTGAGGTTTAAAAGCCTAAAAACATAACATTTGAACTTCTTACATAAATGAGCTGGGGCACTTTAAACAGAAATATATGCAAAGCTAGTTAAGAAATATACTTTGAAATAAATGGAAAATTGTATTTTTATGCTTTCCTTAGCCCGATTTGGGTGAAAAGCGTTTAAACGCTTTTCATTTTGGGGCCATTTTTTACAATTTGAATAATAATTCTGAAAAAATGAAATGCGCGAATGATCTGAAATTTGCACAAAGATTAGTGGTCCAAAATAACATCAAATGGTACATTTATCTGGGAAAAATATTTTTGTCCCATCATGTCAAAAAACCTCAGTGGAGTCCCTTTAAATTAAAGTCTTTTTTTTTTTTTTTTGCTATATTTTCAAAACATTTGACTACATACTTTTGACAAAGATATTGACCAATTTCTTGTAAGGATTATCTAGACAAATGCTAGCATTGTCTTATTATTACATAAACATCAGATTAATATAAAACGTTGCATTTTAGATATCAAAGGAAAAAGCAATACGCGCTGTAAGTAATGAGTTATGTTTAACATTTTTGTTTTAGTGATTTCGTACGATCATACGATGGTTTGAGTGCTAAATTAAATATTAAGGACATACGGGTTATTGTTGGAGACCATGATCTAACGAAACATGATGAATATGAAAAAAAGCTTGACGTCGAATATATTGTGAAACACTGGAATTACATTGGTATGTATTTATATGGTATCAATAAGACATATCATTTTTATCTTCTTCTAGACAAAAAAGTTTTTCTTTTAAGCATGTTAAAGAAATCAATTGACATACACACTGATATAACAGTGGTCTTTATTTGTGTATTTATTGTTTATCTAGTATGTGAAGCAAGCAAGAGCATAGCATGCATTTTTTTTGATATTTGATATTTGATATTGATACACAGTTTACCAAACTTCATTCATGAACAAGCAAACACGTTTTTAATGAAAGTCAGTTTATTGTAAGAGTTTGATCGGTAAAATGTTATTAGAAAAAGCTTTAAATCACTTCAAGGATGGTTATTTTATTAAAACAATTTTAGATTATAGAAATGCCTGAAATGGATAGTGTATTCTCTTATATATGTTTTCTAAATTGCAAATATGTAGAGACTCTTCACATCAGCTTGACATCCAATATTTTAAACAGACTTAAATTTTTGCTGAAAATATTTATAAAATTTCAAAAAATTCATTGCAGATTTCAAACGAATATACAATAACAACGATATAGCATTGCTTAAAGTAAAATCAACAGGTGGCATAACATTCAATGACTATATACAGCCAGCTTGTTTGCCAGAAGATTTGACTCTGCTTTTATCTGAAACAAAATGCGAAGTGTCTGGCTGGGGAAAGACAAATTTCCTTGGTATTTATTTATTTTGTATTCTTGATATTGTTATGTAAAGTATTATGTTGTTAGGGATATCAATCATTATTGTAGCATCGTGTTCAGCGCATTAGCTATAAATTAAAAGACAGAATGTATGAAAATATCAAGAGCGAGTAGGTATATGACTATAATAAACTTGAATTAGTTTTATATTTTTGTAGTTTTTAAGTACATAAAATGGGTCTTTTAACACGTTTAAATGTTGAATTCTGCTTAAGCCGGTGCTAGGGGGCGTGGACGGTAACTTGCACTTTCCAGTACCGTCCATGAACAGGCTCAATCAAACCGAGCCTGCAACATTTTCAATTTTGCCGTGTTGGGCTTTCTTTAGGGATTCTGTGTTTATCTATTTTAACTTCAACAATAAAAATATTTTTGTCACAGGTGAAATATCAGACAAATTAAAGGTAGCTGAGGTACCGATCATACCAAATCACGTTTGTCAAAGTAACTACCAACAATATTCCATTGATTTTGAAAAAGTGATATGTGCCGGTGATACCACAGCTGATACATGCCAAGGGGACTCTGGAGGACCTCTCATTTGTGAAATCAACGGTCTTAGTACAGTTATAGGAATAACATCATGGGGTAAAGGGTGTGGTCAAGAGGAATCTCCTGGTGTCTACACAAAAGTATCAGAATATATCAGATGGATAAATGATCAAATTACCAACCACCAATTAGAAGGTTTGTGCAATATTTATATTTTCAAACACAATTCAAATTTACGTTTTGATCGTGTTGTATTCATTGTGGTCTTTATATAATCTTTTTAATCTGCAATTTAATCTTTTGACAGGCTTTTGTCGGTAAGAATTATGTATCTAGTTAAATTGCAATTCGAGGTTTATTTGTGTACATAAATAAATTGCAAAGTTAACTGCAATGTAATAAGTGTTGTTGCGTAATTTCATTAATAAAAAGTACATGTTTAATAAACTTGTTGCAAAATATAGAGTTGTCGTATACAAGACTTAGTTTTTATCTCCTCATATATGACTTTGTTTTCATTTTCAATAAGATATTTAAGGTTTATTATTAATTATTGAATAAAGCTTCTTGACTATTCTTCCCGTACCTTACATAATGTGATACTATAAATCATTGAATGGGTCTGAAAGAGCATATTCCCATACAACATAATGACGATAAAAGTAAACTATGTTTAGAAATATAAGTCGCATTTATACTCTCAGTTATGTCAATAACTATAATATAAACTAACTAGGTTGCATCCTATCTGATGACCAACGCTTCATGTACATGGATATGAATGGAGTAGAAATAAAACCCGGAGAACGAGTAAGTAATATGGCATGTAGACATAATGTTCGTTACGTAACATGACATTATTTGAGGACAAAGTTAACATTTTATACGCCCGAAATTTCTGCGTTTATTGTTATGCACCTGTTTGTCCGCCCGCCCGTCGTCTGGTAGCAGGTTTTCGTGTCCGGTCTGTATCTTGTGAACCGCTGATAGGATATTAAAACCACTAGGCAGCATACTCACCATAATGAAAAAATGTGCGGAGCGTAGGTTTGACATTTCTCAGACAAAGGTCAAGGTCACAGTCATTTTGTATCGATTTTAAGATTTTGTGTAAGTTTGACTTTGCTCAGGTTTAGGTAAAGGTCAAACTTAGGCATTTTGTATCAATATTAAAATTGTGTGTCCGCTCTTTTGAACCGATAGAAAGAAATTATTTTAAGGCAGAAATATTACTTATATTGAGATGGTTTGCATACCTTAAGTTCGGACTTCCTAAGATCAACATTGGCCCGTCCAGGGGATTAATTAATAAGTACAACATTTTGTGTCCGCTCTGTTTCTTTAAAACCGATAGTAGGAAATTAAATCTATTGGTTACTGAGATGATGTGCAGAGCGCGGTTTTGCACTATCTCGGACCAAGGTCAAGGTCACACTGACTCATTCAAAACCCTTATAATATAAGTGTAAATATTACAAAGGGAGATTACAATGTATTAATTTATTATAGATTATGTACCACAAATTTTGTATGGTTTTAGATCATAAATATGATGCTCAAATTAAGATTTATCAATATTGTAAGTTTCAAAAAAAGCATTATTTATAAAGATATTACCGAATTTAACATTTCATGTAAATAAAGGGAGTTAATTAGAAATCTTTTTTCCATAAAGACAATATTTTCAATAAGAAATGAATGCATATATTTTAATGATAACATATAATGAGATGAGGACAAATATTTGAAGAACATATTTAACATATCCTTTGATGTTTGAAAATTGAAAATTGTTTTATAAGAATAATTATACACATATATAATATTTCACGTAAGTGTGGTAACAACCTCAATTACAACATACAGGATCTTGAAAAGGCTTCCTCCCAATATGTATTTATAAACTTAAATATTTTTCTTTCCGAAAATGTATTACCTTATGATGTTTTTTTTATATCAAACTTTATGTTTTCAGATTTTATTTCTGTTAAGATTATAAAAATTGAGGACCTTTAATAGGTTAATCATATTATCTTTTATCTATTAACACAAATTGATGTTTCTTAAGATATGTAAACCACTAAATAACAATAAAATGTCTATTTTTTGGCAATTTATCAAAACTTTTGACAATAATACTGTTTTTCTGTATTATGGAAAGGCTCTATCCAAAATGAAAAATGGGTTATATTGATATGCCGCTTTTCATTGAATGGCACGGAAGTGTCACGTTGAAGGTTCCATTATAGCCGCCATATGAACAAATCTGCGGATGTTTCAAAATTCCAAATTTCTTATTCTTATTTCTCTTATTTTATCATCAGCGTTGTTTGTGCCTTGTGAAGGCTATTTTCTTGTTGGCTGGTTCCAGTATTCCTTACATGTACACTGTTGAGATACCCTTATGATATTTGGCCTGCTTATAAATTTGTCGTTTGACGTCTTATCTGTGACATTCGGCTTTGTAACCTCTGACCACTTTCAAAATTCCATTTTATTTAGTTCCGCCGCTGTTTTCGCGTTTAGGGTACACACATGTTTTTACTTGGGGACATTATGACGTTTCTAATTGAATGGCGTCGAATTGTCACATTGAAGGGTTCCATGATAACAATTCCAAATTATACCAGTTCATGTTAAATATTGAAAACAAATCTGGAAACAAAGTAATCGGAAGCATTAATCACAACAAAATAACATTAGAATAGCAGACTCGGTTTGATTGAGTCAGTAATTAAGGGATAATGAGTAAGTGCAACATCCCTAGCGCCCCCTAGCACTGGCTTGAGGGGTTCTCAATTCTCACAACTATTGAGTGCTGACATCAATGATCCTAAAGGACAAGAAAAATATAACAACACTGAAGTGAAGTACGGAAAAACTTTTTACAGCTGCAACCCAGCACTTGACACCTGTTGTTTTGAAGTATAAAAAATCTGGAAACAAAGTGATCCCTCGAAAGCATTTATTACAACTAAATTACATAAGAATAGTAGACTCGGTTTGGTTGAGTCTGTACATGAGGGATAATGAGTAAGTGCAACATCCGACACGTCCCTACCACCGTCTTGTGCGGTACTCAATTCGCAACACTCAATAGTGCTGACATCAATGAATCAATGAATTCTGCTTAAGCCGGTGCTAGGGGACGTGGACGGCATATTGCACTTTACAGTACCGTCCATGAACAGACTCAATCAAACCAGGCCTGCAACATTTTCAATTTTGTCGTTTTGGATATATATAATATAATCACTAATTAAGTCATAAAATTGCAGTTTATCAGACCTAGGACCATAGAGACTTAAAAGTGTGAGACATTTATAGAAAGATGATCTTAGATAATTATGTTTCCATTCAATAAGTGTTTTCCTAATATTGTTCTCAATAAAACATTTTGTACTCCCAAATACAAAAAGCGACACCTCTGAACCTGGATATTCCAGAGATGTTCCATTCAGTGTATATAGTTTTTGCATGTCCATTGTTATGTGGGTGTCTTGCAAGCAGTAAATATAAGATTTATTTTCTTAAAAAAAAGAAATAATTCCTTCCATTTGTTTATATCAGTTAAACCTCTATAATTCAGAGACAATAGTTTTATGCCTCTCATAAAGCAACTGCATTGAATTTCTATTATTACAACGGAACATTGGTTTACTATGATAGTACATGTAACACACCTTTTTTTGTTTTGACTTCCCTGGCAGGTACACGAAAACGAACAAGACAAATATGGTAAAAATGTAATCAACAATTTATGTCATTTATCTTATTGAATCAAAAGAAAGAACATATTATAAGACTCAATTTTAATTGTCTGCAATTAAAAGTTTTGTGCTACTTTCACTGTTTTTTTTTTTCTTTTTTTATTTTTTTTTTATTTTTTTTGTTGTTGTTTGTTTGTTGTTGTTATGTAACAGCATGCATAAAAACATCAGTAAATTGGAAGTAACAGTCCTCTTAGTACGTATGAATGATATCAATTGCTTAAGCAAATATATCTGAGAAAAAAGTCATTAAATCAAAACTAGTGAGGTTTTGTGATTATTACGAATAATCAAAAGATATAATAATGCATTCAACTAATAGAAATTTGTAAATATTGCAATTTTCAATTTTGCCGGGCATAGCTAAAAACACATTGGACATAGAGTCACGAAACTTTACTAGAATGTGGGCCATTAAAGGTAGCTCTGCACCTGGGGATTTACTTGTGAATATATTCAGTGTTACAGATCAATGACATTAAAAGGGCATGTTAAACTATAGATTTAACTTAAAGTTTGATCCTTACACTCTTAATGTAAAATTGTATTGTACTTCATACGTTTTATAGTAAATAAAGAAATATTTCTGAACGTAGTTAACGGTTTAAGATAGATACCGGGACACATGGCGTCTATTCCAAAAGTTTAGGAGGTCAATCATTTTATGTCATAAGGCAGTCAATGAGTTCAATATTATGATAAGTTAACATTGCAGGAATAAATACTTAAATTTTAGTTTACGTGAGACATTCATGAAACAAATTTGATATAGTAAACATGCACTCTAGTATACATATTCATTGCCTAGAGTCATGGACACTTTGTCTGCACATCTTCTTTCGGGCTCTCCAGTTTTCACAATGCGTTTATCCGGTCATTCTTTCTGTAGGCAATGTGCAAAGTCACGTCGCTTAAAATGGAAAGTACGGCTCTCAAACGTTACGTTACTTGAGCCCTTTTACTGGCGAATACCAAAAACAGTCAACTTCTTTATCTCTATTCGTGGGTGTTGTATACTATTATGTGATGATGATTAAGATAAGTAAAGCTAATCGACATTTCTTAATTCGTCACCTCTTTTTAATTTTTTAACTACTCCGTTCAATTCCGAACTGCACTATCGTTGGTTTGTTTTTCCCAAGTCTGTGAGCAATACTAATATTATTCTTTGTTAGTTTGCTTTCAGCTAATTATTTAAGTCAGTTACCACAACATCAGCTGTTTTGATCGATGTATGTTTGGTCTATCGAATACTAGAACAATGGGTTGAACGTCCTGTGAACATTGCCTTTGCCATCTTTATTTTCGTTTTTATGTCTTTTAATACAAGATGTTAAGTTTTCTTCAGTCGGGTGGAAAGTATATCGGGAAAATAAGTGATGTTGTTGAATCAGTGAACAACAATGTTGTATGAAAATAGCAAACATGCCTCGATTCTGTTTTTGATAACAAAATGAAAAAATGGAAATAACATCGATTTCAACAGTATTTAGTCCTATACTACTACCAGATCAATAAAATAAAAACACGTTATATAGTCTGAATCCCTGCCTTGTATTCAGTGATAGTAAAGTACATATACAAGTACGGGTTATCAAAACTATAAGCTCTTTAACGTCATCTCCTCAATAGAATTATCTTGAATATACATTCATCGTTTCACTATTTATTCCGGCTTTTTCCGAAAAAGAAAACAACAAAGATGTCGTTATATTCATGTCGGTGTTCCCGTACCTGATGCCGTTGCCTAGCACGGTGTCGTTGCCGTTACAAAATTTAACATTGATTGTAAACATTTCTTGGTGTATTGTTCTAATACATGGCTACAACAACCTTTCGAACAAGACCTTCAAGATTACCAGACTTCATAACCTCTGATCCTCTTTCAAAGTTTCATGTTGTTTAGTTCCGCCCATTGGTATCGCGTTTAGGGCACACGCTTTCTATTACTTGGGGAACATACGCCACTGTTCATGGAATGGCACAGAAGTGTCACATTGAAGGTTCCATGAAAACCGTCGTATGAACACATCTGCTGATTTTTCTTAATTCAAAATTTTATCATTTTCGTGTTTAAGTGTTGAATCTCCTTAAGTCAGTGCTCGGGGAGGGGGGGGGGCGTGTTGAAAGTACCTTCCATGATCAGGCTCAATCAAACCGAGCCTACAAAATTTTCAATTTTGCCGTTTTATGCTTTATTTAGGGATTCTTATTTTCTCTAAATTTACTTTAACTTTTGAAATACGATAAACAAGATCAACAAGGAAAAGCGGCGTTCAATAAACGCAACCCCGCTACGACCCAGCAACAAGAACCAGTGGCAAGGAGCCCAGGCGGACCCCAAACAAAAACAGGACAGGGCACAAGACAGAGCACGGACAGGTTAATCACTAAATGATAAATAATAAGTAACGGATTAGGAATTCAAAGAAAATAAATAAATGATTGACTAATAGGCCCACAAAGTCAAAGGGCACAGGATCAGGGGACAGGAGACCGGAGGAAGGGGGTGGTTAATCTAAGAAATAAAAACCAGGGGTAAAGGGGGAAGATACATTTGTACTTACCGTAGACGAGAAAACAACAAGGGACACAAGCAAAAGTGTCACCAGAACAGTATGAAACAACATAGGCATACATCTAAGGAACACAGAGGGGAGTTTAAACCGGTTAATGGTGCACCAAACCTTGCTCTTAGCCCCACCATGTTCCTATGAACGAGACAGTGTAAATAAAATGAATCCCCGCCAAGTGAAATTCTAACAGTTGTTATGGTTACAAAAGGTTAAATAAGTAAAACACCAAAATGATCAGGTAGAAACATATAAAAGCATATAAAACCTGAACACAACAATCATAAATGACTGACCTTCATGATAAACAGACAGACCTTGGTATGCGCTCATAATTAACCTTGACATTGAAGGTCAAATTTTTGAAACTTTGTATGTCTCATACAAGCAAACTTGTATGTCTCAAAACTTTGCCATTTATTTATAGATATACAGTAAATGTAACTAGACCTATCTTTTAATTTTATTAATGAAACTATTAACTATTTCTTGAATTTTCTTTTAAAAGATTTATTTAAAAAGTTTATCTGTTTGCTTAAAGGAAAAGTAAAAGAAAGAAGAGCGCTACTATAACTCTAAGGTGTGGAGACCTTTATAACCTCAAATACTTAAAATGTCTTCTCTGAAGAGAAGGTGTTATGGTCGTTTTCGTACGGTTGTCGTTAAAACCTATCAAATTTTTATCTAAATGTTGTTGTTGGTTTTTTATTTGTTTTTGTTGTTTTTCGTTGCATATCATTTTAGCTTTATTATTCGATAACAATAAGTGAGCTATCCTAGTCACCCGAGCATCTGTGTCGGCATAACCACTGATGTTTAAAATTGCGTACAACCTCAAATATTGTCACAGTTTATTGACATCTGGTTTTGAAAGAAGTTGAAATTGTATTCACTTCCTTGAGTGCATAATATTACACTCTCAAATGCCTATAACTGTAACATGGATTTGAAAAAAATATCCCGTTTGTAAACTTAGAAAATTTAACATAATCAAGGCTGTTTGATAATCAAGCAGTAAGAATATTCGAGCGTGCTGTCCTACTGACAGCTATTGTTTGTTATTTCATTTCAACAGATTGCTATCGGAACTTCATTGAAGGCACATTGCAGATTTAATGATGAATATTCGTATCTAACATACGATTATGATTATTATAACAATGATACTTACACAGCAATGGATGACAAGACATTAACTTGCGAGGGAGATCGTAAAATGTCTCAGATACAAAAGCAATGTCCTGAAGGTAAATAATGGCGCAAAATTCCGTATTGATATATATAGTTTTTTATTTTCAAACACACTTTAAATCGTGCGTGTATTGTACCTCCTGTCTGAGTGTTGTTATAGACGTGAAAGATCAAACAAACGCTAATAGATTAATGTGATGACATAAACTGTCGATTACAGACCCTTGGATCATGAACACACACATTTCTAAGCACTAGAGAAGACCTGTTTTAAAAAGCCGACCTTCGTTATGTAAGTAACTTGGCAGAATGTCAAAGGGGCTCAGCGAAAAAAATCTAAAGGGTACATGTAACAGTTGAAAACATTTACTTCATTGCATTGTATTTGGCAAGATGATTAAAAAAATATTTATTATAAAATACGTTGTGTTAAAGTCGAGGCATGTATACTTAATTGTTTAGACTTCCTTTTTTAAATGTGTCTCTCAAAATTGTTTATATGAATTTAGCGGGGAAAAACAACGAATGCATGAGTATCGATAACGGACTTGTAGCTAAAACAAAAGATTACTACATTATCTCATGTCATAAAGGATTCTCATCGATTTTAAATGAGATTGAGGACGAGAGGTACAATTGCATTAATGGAACATTGAGAAGTTATATTACCAGGCAGGAACCTTTATGTTTACCAGGTAAAATACACATATTTTTAAAAATAAAACTCAGAGTTTTTGCCTCAAATATATCTGATAAATAGTTCGTAAAAATCTAATTAACCGTTTAAAATAATTAAAGTAATCTAATGTATGCCATCTAATAATAAAAGAATTCAAGTGATATCCATATTTAAATCAGTTACAGTTAAAATGGGCTAACAATTCCAATTGTTTTTAACATTACCCTAACATAGGTAATTCTCCTGACGGGCGTATTCAAAGAAAAAAGAGTTTTATTTCGGAGATTTTTTACATTTTTCAGTACGTCTTTGTAAGTTGTTACAATTATGCATAACTCACGTATAAATGGTGTTTACTATAAATGCTAAAATACTTTGGTTGCTTAAGATATAAAAAATAAAAAATTAAACATTAAATAATCTTGAAATTTATCACACTCATTGCAGATCCTTGTCCTGTTTCGTACGATATGGACAGGTTTCTGACGATATCCGACAAATACCGTATATATCTTTCCGGAGGCGCTGTTGTTGAAGTGGGGGACATTGTTTACTTCAATTGTTCAATGGCGGGAAATGATATACACGAACCTGTAAACAGACGATTCAAGTGTATTAACGGTATGTGGATTGAGGATGAACGAGATAAAACTTGGAAGTTTGGAAACAATGGAAATTTTCCAATATGTAGAAAAGGTAAGCAATTTGCTTTCTTTTAATAAATCATTAAGAATGTGTATCTAATTGTTTGAACAGTTATATATTTCTATTTACGACCGTAAGCTTACAACACAGTGCTTAATGAAAATAAAAGATGACCGATAACCTCCAAACTCTTCTAGTGCATTCAGCTACAAAGTTTGTTTTAAACAATAAATAACCCGTTTTATTTCGAGGTCATTAGGTCAATGTGTGGGTGTACATTTACATGAGTAAATGCTACATACTACAAATTACAAACTTCTGGAACAGAGATGTTGCCTAAGAACTTAGGAAGCATAATGCACATTAACATAACAGAAAATTGCTGATTCGGTTTGAGCGATACTTCATTTTCAATACAGAAAGTGCTGGATTAATTGTTCACTTGTAAAAGACTAGAGAAATATAAGAACACTGAAGTGAAATACTGGAAACTAGGTATACAAGACTATGTGTTTCGTCTTATTTCATAAATGATAATGTAATATATTTTAGCAAAACAGAACACACACAAATACTTATAAAATTATTTATTTCTATCGATAATGACAACTGTTTTTATCTCATGACATATATTACAACATATATTATGGAAACGTAATGTGATGACTTTTAGCAATATGTGAACCGGTGTGTCAAAATGAAGGTGTTTGTTCGAGAGATGATTATTGTAAATGCAAGCATTTCACAACTGGAAAACGTTGTGAAAACGGTAATAATGACTCTTTTCTTTTGTAAAATAAATAAATAAATGTTAACACTATAACTTGATATGCATTTATGTATATAATATTCATTATTCTGTTAAGGCTTTGTCATATGATACCATATTGATGATAAGCATCCTACGTCATTTGTTTGAAATACAGATACACGAAGAGTTCTTAACAGGAAGATATCATTTTAACGATTTTTTGTGTTAACGACTTACGATTGATCTGTTTTCAGATTTATTATAGTGTGGAAAAATCTACCAAGTCTTTATTAATCATTGTTTAAATCATATAAAACACGGCATTGTTGTTTACTAACGTTATTTGTCATGTATTGTAAAATATAGTTGTATGTGACGATGAATGCTATGTTAATAATGGCGAATGCGTTGGTCCTAGAAAATGTAAATGCCCAGAGTGGAAATTTGGAACTAACTGTGAACTAAGTAAGTTAATATTAAGGAAATATAGCATCTGTCAAATTACAATATAGAAAACAATATAAGATAAATCAATAATACTGATTGACTCTATAATATCATTGTATTCATTGAGAATTTTAACAGCTAGACTGATATGATTGATGGTTATTCCATTACTTTCTTGTCTGATTTATACTTTAAATTTTATATGATTATAACATAGGAAACACAGTCATTGTTACATATACATGATATAATTATGATATCTTTAGCTCAATTTTTAGAATATGTATACATAAACGATATAAAGACTATTAACGACTACTGTTTTTAACAATTTTTGTCTCTTTTGTGACTGAAATAAATACGTTGAATGTTTACATTTGTATAGGTTCCTGTAGGCTTCCGGAAAATAAAAATATGGCGAAAGTATCCACACAAAAAACCTATTTTGCTATTGGCGAAACAGTTCGCACTTTTACGTGTGGCTCTGGTCATTTTCCATCATCTGACCAAGGAATGACATGCCGAAGTGATGGATCATGGTCAGATATAATAACATGTGAAAAAGGTATTAATAAAAATTTATATTTTGTCTTAAATAAAAAAATGTGTCCTGGAGCATACAACCACTGAAGAAACATGCCATTTTTGCAAAGAAATTTAAGAAGAAATTTAAATGTTTTTTTACGAAAATCTTGCATATTTTCTGTGTTAAACTTTAACAAAAAACATTTCTGGTAATGGATGTATACTTTGTTTATACAAGACACATTGGTAAAATGTACATATACTTATAATCGTACATCTATCTATCTATCTATCTATCTATCTATCTATCTATCTATCTATCTATCTATCTATCTATCTATCTATCTATCTTTCTATCTATCTATCTGTCTGTCTGTCTGTCCGTCCATCTATATATCTATCTACATATTGTACATATTGTTTTTTTACTTTTTTAATCTTTATTTAGATTTTTTTCTCTAAAATATCTGCAAGTAAGTAATTTATATGTAAGTAATATGTATGTATATTTCCTAAAGTTGGAGTGGTACATGCATGACCAAAATGCACAACGGTTACAACTGTACTAAAGATAGCATAATTATACGATTATTTTTCCCGGAAAATTTTATTTTTATAACAAATTCCATATGTGTTAGATAACAGAGAGAGTCTTTGTAACAACCATTTCCAGAATCGAACATAATTCTATTGACACAACATTTATTTACCGTTTACTAACTTAATCAATATAATTGTAGATATGTTTTTACAATTAATTTACTTCCATAATGTACCTATGTGTTTTACTTATGTTATCGACTTTATATCTATTGAGATCTCTTCATAAAATATATAATATTATTCCATTCCATTTATTATATTTCATACTTTAATCAATGGTATGTATTAGTTTTATTCCACATATCTTCTAATGAAGAAGCAATCAACACGCCAAATTGAAGTCGTATTAAATACTGAGTAACAGCGGTAACATCCTCTTGAATCACAAAATATGATATCCGAAAGCTACGGGTTAAACTACAAATTAAACGATTCATGAGGGTTTGTAATCCTTAACAACATCTCATCGTCATTATCTAGAGTGCAACAGACCAAAATTTAAAACCTTTTAACTTATATCCACGACAATTAATTTGTATTCTTCAACTAGATGTGACGTTATGTTACTTTAATACGACTGGTATTGCTTAATTTATCTAGTCAAGATAATTTGCCAATTTACAATGCCAGGAATAGATGTGCCAACATATGTCCTATTAATTGAATGGTTACAGACCATGTGCAGGTAATAAAAACTTACTTACATTTTAATAGCGTTAAGCTATTACGTCACGACCATCAGTAAAATCGGTATATCTTAAACAAAACAAATGTGTATTTATTAAATTATTAAATGTTTTGAAGTTATTATGCAATTTCTTTTACTTTTTGATAAGGTAACTATTACATGATCAGTACGAAAACGGGAATACGTCGCTTTGCCGGAACGGATGCCAATGTTTACATTACTCTGTTTGGCTCAAGAGGAAGTACAAGAAGAATAAACTTTATGGGGAAATTTGAATCTGGTGATGTCGACGAGATTAGAACATTTGCCAGAGATGTAGGGCCAGTAAGTAACATATTTATGTTTGATGATTTTCAAAAAAAAAAATTAAACTGAAAGTGTTGTTAAGAGTTCTTTAATTCTTGTTGATTTTTATAATGCAAGTTATTTCTTTTCATTGTTCATTTTAATCATCCTTCAAGTTTGATTTAGTTGCAGTTGATTTACATAACAATGTGCCAATGTTATCAAGGATCCCTCACATTTTTATTTTAACACATTTTGCAGATACAAAGTGTACAGATCGGACATGATGGTGGAGAATGGCTTTTCTTATCTAATTGGTACCTGGAATATGTATCAATATATGTTGAAGATATGGAGGAATTTTATGTTTTTAGAAATATTAAACAACAATGGGTAAGGGAAGGAAGTGATCTGACCCTTGAGAGGGAAGGTAAATTTTTAACTAGATTATAAAAATATAGCATTTTGATATGCTTTTATTAGCCTGTTTTAATTTATTTACCTTTTAATTAAGAAAATTAACAATTTTATATGGTATAATACAGAATCGTATGTTTCCTTTAGAAAAATGTAAACCTCTTAAAGCTTAAATACTTTGGTGGCGCTGTACAATTCCTGAACAAATTCTGTTTAATATAGAAAAGTTATAAGACTTTTCTTAAATAGCCTAAGAAATAATATATAACAGCATAGAAAACATTATATTATAGTTTAGCCTACGAATCATTTTGGAAGAGCTATCATTGTGTAGCTTATGATATATTTTGTAGAAGCCAATAAAACATTTTATAATTGCCTATGAAATATTATTAGTAGCCTATGAAACATTTAGTAATAAGCCTATGAAACACTATATTATAGCTGATGACAACAGCCGATATAATATCATTTTATGTTCTATAAAACATTATAAATGTACAATTATTGGCTAGTCAGCCATTGAATATGATGTGATATTCATCGGCTTATGACATATAGCCGAGGTCAGTGTCATTTTTTGCCGGTGAATATCACATTATATTCAATGGCTGACTAGTCAATAATTGTTTAATAGTTTTAAAAGTAAATCTTTTTTTTAATACAAAAAATACAAAACCCAACTTGTGCCTGTTTTCATTGAAGTGCGGGAAAATGGACGAACTGTGTACATGACGTCAGGCGTTCATCGAAGTTCTACGCAACAAAAGTAATTCAAATTTATACAACTATTATAATGAAGTATTGATATTTTATTCGAGAAATCTGCCATGTAGAACAAAACGCAACATTTAGTTTTTTATACGCACGCGCAAAAAAACTGTCCACGATATTAGGTCGTTGAGTATGAGCCTAAGTATATAGTTAGATTGGGAACACCTAATTCAGTCAGTGAATATGATAATTCACACAGTGAATATGATTTTATAAATAGTGCTGGTTTTTGAACCGAAAAGATTTCTGCTACATTTAGGTCAAAATGACTGTTTACCGCCAGTCCTTTTGTAACGCATTTGCATTCGGCGTCAATAACGTCGCGTCAATTGTTCGCGTCGTCGCCCGCTCCCTTCTTGTCTGTGATCTCGTCATTCACCGTATTTGAATTGCTTGCGCCAGCAACAAACGATTGTCCCGATCGCCTCTTAGTTGCCCTGTGGTAATTTAATCTTTACGTAAGTAGCTAAAGGGGTATGTCCAATCTATTTTGCAAATTTAACTATCGCACAAATGTTCAATTTTTCAACATACAACATATTTCTACATTTACTGCTATATACTCGTATATTTATAATGTAGCCAATTCTTGTCTGAATAATATTAGATTTAGACATATTGTCATTTTAACTATATTGATAGTGTTAGTTGAAATTACGTAAAAACAGCAAATTATGAATGCAATAGAAGTACAACTTTGTTTCAAAAACACTTAGATGTCTTGGGCCGGTGTATGTTACCATGGTTATTCAAAATCACAGGGAACACGCGTTTAACACAATCATTATATAATATTCTCTTCTAATTATGGAAAACAATTAACGACTGCAACAAAAAGGAAAATATCGTCAAAACAATTTGAAGATACAAGAGACATATATGGGATATTGAATTAGTGTAATTTGATACTGAATTTATTGAACGAGTTGAAGAAAATTATATTAAGCGAGCCTCTTCAGTATACAATGTACTGTTCAAAAGAGTCAGTTTTCGTTCATAATAATATTATTATCATAATTAAATTATACTATAATCATAATCGCTGGGTGAAGTATCATATTTACTGGCTAAATTGGGTTTTCCCAATCTAAAAATAGATTGAGACTCATATTCAATGAGACTACGCATAAAAAGATAAGTTTCGCGTTTTTGTTCTTTATGTCACAGTTCTCGATTTAAATAACATAACTTTACAATAATACATAAAAGTTTCACCGCATTGATGGATATAGACTTAATTTCGTTTGTTTGCGCAGCGTTCGCGTTATCGCTGAACGCCTGACGTCAGCTTGGTTACAGTGTGTTTTCCCCGTACATCAAAGAAAACAGCCAAACAATGTGTATTGTTTTTTCTTTTAAAAGGCTTATTTTTTGTGAGTGTTTTTAACATTTGCCTATTCATATAATGAAACAATTATTGACTAGTGAGCCATAAAATATGATGTGATATTAACCTGCAAAAAATCATGTATCTGCCAGTGAATATCACATGATATTCAGTGGCACACTAGTCAATAATGTTATAATAATCTATGAAACATTAATCATCATAATAAATTATTATGTATATGTTAGTGTTCATCCGTGCTGTTCTACAGAAATTAGAAACTTCGACGGGAGCGATAGCGACTGTTCTATAAAACTGTTCTATAAAACAACGTATATTAGCCTATGAAACATCATAAAATAGCCTATGAAATATCATAGGATAGCCTATAAAACAATAAATTAAGCCAATTAAACAAAATTACTTTTTTCCACCTAATTTTCAAACGACGAGTTTCCTTTTTCAAGTTTTAGCAGAAATGAATGATATGCACACTAATCCAAATTTTTAAAACAGGCATTCGTCATATTCTGAAATAAACATAAACAAGTATCTTTATCTTTGATTTCTGTTTACATTTTTCGTTGAAGCTTCTGAAATATCGGAACAAAACAGACGTATTATAAGGATATTGTACTGAAAAAAAATATGACAATAATTTTCAAATGATAATCTTTTTGCATATTTCAGGAAATCAGTCATGCATCAACACATTCGACGAGAAATATCTGTGGTATCCTAGATGGATGTTAGTAAGGGGGTTTCTCCTTGGCAGAGGGATGAGTAGTAGAGTCTGTAAACAAGCTTGCATAAACTGGAGTAAGAACGTGTGTAACGGATTCTACCGTGATACAATGCACACAACTTGTTATGGTTTCACTGAAACGCGTGATGAATACTTTACCGTGAAAAAAGAACCTTGGAGTGGAGAACTGTTTTTCAGAACATGCAAGAAGTTCAACTGAAGGGATTATACTATACAATTGTCGACATGTCTTATTGGTGATCAAGATATTTTGAAGGGATAAAAGATATTAATTTACACATACAAAAACTACCAAAAAGAATTAAAAATTGGCGAATTTGTCTTTACTGCGTTACTAACACCGTAGAAATATTGTGATCATAACTACAAAATCATAGATGACGCATAACATGCAAGTTATTACTTGCATCTTGAATCTTTTTTTACTTTTTCCAAAACCTGATTACGTTGTTCTAAAGTTTAATTTTCTTCGAATGTGTTGACTTTTCTGGAGGCATGCAGCTTCAAGTACAGTTGTTAATTATTATTTTTTAAACATCTTGTCTTGACTAATCTTGCGGCTCATGGTCGAATTAGTTTTTTCTTTTGTTATTTCATTTATTCACTAATTAAAAAACACTTTAAAAAATCATTCTACTAATTTCATTCTCTGTTGACCCCAGTAATTGCTTAAGCCTAATCATGATACATTACCCATCTGTTCCATTGACAATAAACAATGAAAGTATCGGTGCATTCTCAGTTTCTGTTCCAAATGCATTTTACATTTCATTACGCAACATTCCATTTTACTGTTTCCTGACAAGAAAAATTGTAAACGAAAATTAAATTCAGAAATGCTGCTTTAAAAGATAACATAATATAAGGAGCAGTGTGACAGCATCACCAAAAGATAAAGGCATCGGACTAGTTATCTATGGATTGCTGGTCGCGTGCGCTTAAAACCTGTAAGGGGGAACCGTTGTGTCCTTAAAGGCTAGTAGACATCATATTAACGTACTAAGTGTTACAATTGATTGTTTATTTTTCATAATTTACCCATCAAATAATCGGTTATTAGTCCCCTACCGGTTTACCGGAGGGGACTTTAGGTTTACCCTCCGTCCGTCTGTCCGTCTGTCTGTCTGTCCGTCCGTCCGTCCGTCTGTCCGTCCGTCCGTCCACAAAACTGGATCCCGCGATAACGCAAAAAGTACTGAAAATATTTTAATGAAACTTGATATATGGATAGATGGCAGTACTGGCATGCGAGCTGTTCCCGTACAAAAATCATAGTTACTTAATCATTATTTTTTATTACGCTCACTCACCAATATTTGAATGTTACACATCAATATTCGGCTCGTCACACAAATCATGGAAATTCCATCATGTTCTAAACATAGAATAACCCTTACTTATGAGGCCTCATATGGGGTACCGAAATTATCCATTATTTTGTATGAAGAGAAGTAGTTCCCGTACATAAAATCTAACCCATTAAATTATACAATTTTATTATATCGGACCTATTTTTCATGTACAATTGTTGAACAGACCATTATCTAAGGGATAAATAGATGTAATTCAGGAAATAGAGCGTAGACTAAACGCGGGTATCTATTACCCGGTACCGTTACCCCAACGCATTAATATGCAGTCACATGCTTGTATGCATGCTATTTTACGCATCAATGCCATAAAATTATTATTTATAGTAATATTGGTCAACATTCTGATAATTAAACAATTTTTCATCTCATTGCCTACTTATTTGTAAACAGGTGGTATTAGTGGAAAACCACGTGTAAGTATTTTTGCGCATGCGCGCAAGGACGGAATCCCCCAGAGAAAACAAGGTCACATTTTGACGACGCACAGGTGAAAGTGATTTAAAATGAAACTTTATATACGTACTGCCGAACTGACAATTAGATTTTGTCTCGTTTATGTATCTGCTTGATTTGAAATGAATTTTTGAAGAATGCAAGTAAAAATCAAGCGTTTAAATGAAAAATACGGGTACTGCTTCTGTACGGGAACTGCTCGCATGCCAGTATGGAGATTATGCACGTCTTTTTTTTTTCTTCCTATGTTGAAAATTCTGGTTGCTATGGCAACAAATAGACTGAAAATATGGCAAATTTTACACATAACCTGGATCCCGCGATAACGCAAAAAGTACTGAAAATATTTTTATGAAACTTGATATATGGATAGATGGCAGTATGGAGATTATGCACGTCTTTTTCTTTTCTTCCTATGTTGAAAATTCTGGTTGCCATGGCAACAAATAGACTGAAAATATGGCAAATTTTACACATAACCTGGATTCAGTGATAACACAAAAGGTACTAAAAATATGTTTATGAAACTTGACATATGGGTAGATGGCAGTATGGAAATTATGCACATCCTTTTTTATCTTTCTATGTTGAAAATTCTGGTTGCTATGGCAACAAATAGACTGAATTTCAAGATTTCTGATTCTAGTTTTTAAGTTTTTTCACTATAAGTTTTTTTATTTCTTAAGGTATTTTCTTCAAACTTTAAATATAAGTTGCTTGTCATCAACCACATCATATGTGACAAGGTTTACAACTCTAGCACAAAATTTATCAGAATTACCTCCCTTGAACTTAAAATTTTCATGAAAAAACATTGTTTTTTAATAGCTTCTTCTTCTGAATGTATATACTTCAAACTTCATATAAATGTGTCTTATTGTCACTCAACATTTGTGAGTGTTCAATACTCTAGCAAAACTATTTCCAGAATTATGCCCCTTTTGAACTTAGACTTTTTTTTTGAGAAATTGGTAATTTTTACTCCAACTTCTTCAATCATGATAGGATTTTAAAAATGTTATATTTTGATAACAGGGATGTTTAAAAAATAACTTTAGAGTGTCCTTCAGTCCGTCTGTTTGTACATAAAAACTGTTTCCTGTGATCACTTTTAAAGAACTTTTTCAACAAATTTACTTAAAATAGGAACCTAAGTGAATGGCCAATGGCCCTTCAGAATGTTGCTTGGGCTCTTACCGGTAGGGGACTTATGGATTGCTTGCAATACTATGATAATTGCTTGTTGCCCTAGTATTGCCCTAACACAGCACGGTATCACACAGATGTAAGAGTTGCTAGTTGCTGCCCGATATGCAGGTGCGACCTAAACCGGAAGTGACATACATATATCCGTGTGTAAATTATTGGTAGTTCATGGTAACGATATTTTGCTGTCTTTCTTGTAAGATGATTTTTATTTACGTACATATTATGTTCGAAATAAAAAATCGCTGATAGTGATCCATTTGTAGTTAACATTTATATGTTTAAAATACAGCCACCGACAATATCACTGCTTACCTGCGAAACAGACCATGTTCGTCATCTTAAAATTGCAAAGAAATTAAATTCATTTTTTTATAATTATTGTGTGTGCGTGCGTGTGTGTGTGTGTTGGTATGTGCGTGTTAGCGTGCGTGTATGTGTGCAAATATGCTAAAATTGAACTTATCACGACAAATAAAGATCATAAACATTTGTTCACGTAAAACAAGCTGGCGGCAATCGAAATAAAATCTCGCGCAAAGGATTGTGAGTCTGGCCGTGATAACATCCTGTTTTGGGAGCTTCTTATACCTTTTTATATAAGTCTCTGATGAAATGAAGTAAATGAATTATACATACGCCGTAAACTGCATAATTTGTTACAAAAGATATAGCCTATATAATGTTGTTGTCTTGTTTTTTTTCCTTTATTTTTGTATTTTTTTACAATCCCGTTGAATAATTGAATGGCTATTTGTGTTAAGAAATCAACGGCGTTTATAGTCACGTTCAGTTAGAGCACTAAAATATCGAAAGAAAATCTAAATTTTGTTTTTACGTAATCTTCGTTTATAACAAAAAATTATTAAAACACGTTTATTAAAATAAAGCAATTATATAGATATTTTAATTTAATAGCTGAAAGTATTTACACACGAGTATAAACAAAAAATGGGTAGGGATCTTTCTACGTCATTAACGAAAAGGACGGCGTAAAGAAAAAATGACTTTGTAAATCATGATGTTGTTGTTTTTCTCTCCAAATTAAAGACATTTCAAAACTCTTTTTATTGAGTTTGTGTGTAATATTCGTATCTAACAGAAAAACACATGCCTATTCTTGTCCACATATCTTTAAGCAAGAAAGTGTACTTTCACTCTTTGCTTGGTACTGGTCGCTTCTGGGAACCGATTTCGAAAGTGTATTGTAGGTTTATTACTTCTGACAAAACCAAACTCAAATAGAGTCTGTATAAACTAAGAAACAATAATAATTTTATTCTTATATAACCTGTATTATAAGACGAAAGGATTAAAAAATAGCGGTGTCGCCATTCCGAGACACTCGCCTCAAGATGGTGAAATGATAAAAATATATAATAAGATTTCAAGTAAACAGTAAATTATGATTGAGTAAGGTTAATTGTGCAAAATCCATTGTAACTGACATCTTAGTTCAAGAAAGAATGTTGACAAAACCATTAATATAGCGTGATTTTTCTTTGCATAATCTACTACGTTACTACATGTTCTATACAAAGGTCAGATAATCTCATTAATTTAATATAGACTTACATTATAAGAAATGACCCAAAAACAGACTTTAAAATTTAGTTTTCACCATAGAGATTTTTTTCTAGGAGAAAGACATGCCTGATACATAAACCTGATCTCGTTTTATAGAGGTAGCCAACCAAATTTTTCGTAAAAAGACTTCAAAGCGGATAACCACCCCACACCCTCTGTTCACTGTAATTCACTGTTGATCACAGGGACTGACATTACTTCTTTAAAATGTAAATATCAGAGTAAAATGTTATCTTACAGACTTACAAAATACTTTATCTTGTCAGAAAACAATGTACTTTTAGTTTCGAAAAATAGTTTTTATACTAAAACACAATACCTTTTTATCCAATCGCCAGATGTCCGATTAAATCTTACGGTTTTCCTTTCACTTTTTAAGCCAATTGCTTGCCATGTAACAATGCGAGACCCTGACCTTAAAGCATTTTCTTGTTGTACAATGTAGAATTATTTTGTATTATGTAATGAGAATAAAGTATATCAAATATATATGCGTCCATTTTTTTGTATTTCAAATAAATTTTGAGAAGATTTCACTATAAGGCATGTAATGCCATTAAGCCTATGAAAATAGAGTTAAGAAAGAAAGAAAAAACGTCAATAAATAAATGAAAATAAAACAGTAAAAAACTCTGCAAAAGGATGTTTAACAAATATTGAGTAAATGCAACTATTATTATATAAAAATGACCCTCTTAAATGACATACTTAATGACCAATTAGCCCTTCTCCAAAGCCTTACTGAATTGTCTATATCAGACTTCCAAATTTATATACATATGCAAATTACTATATATTCATATATGGTCATCTAACACCCTTATATATATCTGGCTTATCTAAGAAATTTCTTTTCTAGTAAAATCAGTTAAACAAAAATGTTCATTTTATACTAAATTGGATAAAAAGATGGAATAAATCATTTTCAAAACATGCAAAAAAAGATTTTCAAAGGATCATAATCCTTCACCGCGTACGTTTAGGCACAGGGACAATTAAATATGTCAAAGTTGAAAAAAATGAAGACTCTTGTACAGGCGAACCCGCTAAATATATATACTATCTAAGGCGTCATCGTCAGCCGAGAACGCGGACCAGAAGCCGATGAATTTCAAACCCCTTTCGAAATTTTCCCAAAAATGATGTGAAACTTCAATTTATATCGGACGATGGACAGCACCAAAGGAAAAACTATTTTACAATCAGCTATGATACGTATCAAAGATCCAAACATCTATTTAGATTCTTGCTATCGATTTCACACTTTTAACAATTTGCTGGTGATTTTCTCACAAATTGTAGCTATAAAACAATTAATCATATATACATTTAATATTATGGTTTGTACCATTAAAACACAGTTCAGAGACTTATACTTATATATCTCAAATCAAAGGGAGACAACTCAAAAAGACACATATAAATCAAAATCAAAATAAATGTGTTATTGTTTTTCCTTGTTCCCTTGATATTGCAAAATTGATACATTACACTATGATTGATATGTATATATGAGCCGCGCCAAGACAAAACCAACGTAATGCGTTTGCGACCAGCATGCATCAAGACCAGCCTGCGCATCCGTACAGTCTGATCAGAATGTGCAGGCTGGTCTGGATCCACGCTGGTCGCAAACGCATTATGTTGGTTTTGTCATGACGCGGTTCATATCATTGTCAGTGGCAAAAATGACTGCTACAAGCTGTTTCATACAAGCAAACTGTTGGATATGATCAATCAAGTCAGTCGAGAACATAGATAAATGAAACCAGACTGTCAAGGAAACCTTTGCTTCGATTCATCTTCATGCTGCAATGGGACTTCGGATGGCGCGACAGTGCAAAGTGCCAGCCCTGTTACTTGCTAGATATTGAATTATTGCCGTGCCAACTAAACAATATATTGTATAAATCTTAAAATTTTAAGCATTTATCTTGTCAATATTCTTTACTCAAACATGTACATGATCATCCTTATATGTAGCATGTGTATATGTATGTATGTCAATGCTCATTGTTTATACACTTTGAATTTAAACCCAAATAAATTTAAAACGCTACATTTACATCCCAAACATCTGCTAAACAGAACTCATTCTTAACGTCTTGCAAACAAATATCATGGAGTACCTAAAGTTATTCTGAGTTAGAGCTATTGAAATTCCAAGGGTCACAGAAGCTGGTTTAACTTTCGAAAAGATTTAAGCTTTACGCCGAAATAAACAGTTGTTGGGGAGTTAAACCATCTTCTGTGACCCGTGGATTTTCAATAGCTCTAATTCAGACACCAAAAGCTTCATCAAATGTGTGAAAAATATACCATTGAGGGAATTTACTAGCCCCCTCAGCTGCCTGCCTGCTGAGGACTGCAAACCTTGTCAATGAGGTTATTCGCAAAGAAAACCAAAGGGACATGAAAAGAATCAGACAATAACTGAATGAAATACGAAGGAATGCCACAGAATGTTATCAATGAAGATGGAATGTACAACAACAACTTATACAGCGCCGTGGGGCATCCAATATCAAATTACTGATGCAGATTCAAGGGTTTTTCGTGTTGCCACAGACCTCAAGCACATAACCTGTTCATCAGCTGGACACGAGGCATCTCGCAGCAGTTCATCGGAAACAAAGAGCTTATGCTCGCGTTTTTTTAATATGATGCACGGTCTTGAAAAGTACTGAAAGTACTTAAGAAATAGGTTAACACTTGATCTACGTCGACGATGTACGACTGAATTTGAATCAGTATATGATATAGATCAGTCTGGGGGTTGCTGCTTTAAAACCAAAAGCATTACTAATATAAATTGATACATCTTACTATGTAAATTAAAGAAACTAAATGTACTATTGCTGGAAGCCCTTTATACATATAATTCTTTTTTTGTTTTACAGTTTGTGTGTTAAGCGCAATCAAAATGTTTTATTAAAAAACGTAGTCTTCCGTTATTTGTGTTGTTGTTGTTTCCTTCTTACATAGAAACTAGCAAGTTTGATCAATTTTGAACACTTTCGATTACTGCTGGCCTGCAAAAACTTTTTTTATTGAAGCTTAACCTCCGTGTTGTTTTATTTGTTATATCTGGTGCTCCGGGACTGCCCAGAAAAGTTAAAAAGATAATTTTCTTGTGAGATAGAATGACATGGAATTGTGTTTCCGTCCCCGGTCGCCCAGAAATCACTGATTCCGTGCCAATTCCATGCGAATTCCGCCTTGAATCCGTGTCGAAATTTCGTAAAGGTGTGAATATGGTTGATATGAATTGACAGCTTGTCCTTATTTTTAAATTGAGTTTTCTTTTATCATAATCGTTCACTTCCTTCACGGACTATGCACTTTAAGAAGTATGGAAACGCACCATTGGCACACACCGAATATTCATACAATGTTTAAATATAAACTAATGTTAATTTAAATTGAATAGTAATTTCTGGATGAAAATTCAGGTAAACATTTATTAATTTAAATATCATATATCTAATAATTGAAGTTATTTGGAATCGCTTAAGAAACATAGGGTGGCTAATTTACGCCATGTCGTAATCTCGCTTCTTCGCCTCAAAGTTGATTTTGTCGCATCTTCGTGTTCACTTTTTCTGATTTCCGAGGCAAAAAAGCGAAACAAAAGACAGAAGGAGGGCGAAAATACGAAACAAAATTTGTCGTACATTCGCTTTCCACCTGTTGTATTTTCGTTTTTTTTTTTTGTTGTTTTTTTTTTTTTTTTTTTTTTTCAAAATACAAATATGTGAAAACAATTGTCTCTTTGCATTTTCGCATCTTTGCATTGTTACACTTCGCATTGTTGCATTTTTGCTTTTTCGCATTGTTACATTTTTGCATTGTTATATTTACGTTTTTTCGCATTGAGGGATATTGCACTTTTTCATTATCCCTCATGTACAGACTCAATCAAACCGAGTCTGCAATTTTCATGTAAATTTGCTGTTTTTAATGCTTACCAGATAATTTTACATTTTCGGCTGTGCATGCCCCTGGAGGCATCAATTACATTACACGTATGCCAAAAACAACAACGGTCGACAAAAGTGACCATTATATTATCCTTTTTTAAATAAATTGTAATGTGAGTGTTTTCCGACAGGTTTGCATTAAAAAATACAACTATGCCAAAAAGCGAAATTACAACAATGAAAAAGGTCAAAATACCACAATGCGAAAAGGGAAAATACAACACATGAAATGCAAATAGACGACAGATTGTATGTGTCGTATTGCCGCCCTTCTTCTGTCAAATTTTTGCCTTTTCGCCTCGAATATCCGAAAAAGTGAAAACTGGAAGAGACTTTGTCGACAAAGCGTAGATAAGACACCATACTATGGTGGTTGATTTACGCTATGTCATGCTTTTGCTTCTTTGCAACTATTGTGACTGATTGTGACGCCATGTCTTGATTTTGCTTCTTTGGCTTGAAAAAGCATAAATGTGAAAACACGTCTCTTTTTGTTTTCGCTTTTTCTTATTGCTGTCGTATTTTTGCATTTTTGTCTCTAACATCTGTAAAAGCGAAAACACGTCTCTTCTTGTTTTCGCTTTTTTTTTTTTTTTTTTTTTTTTGTTTTCTGTCGTATTTTCGCATTTTTGTCTCGAACATCTGAAAATGCGAAAACACGTCTCTTGTTGTTTATGCTTTTTTTGATTTCTGTTGTATTTTCGCATTTTTGCATCAGACATCTGAAAAAGCGAAAACACGAAGAGACAACGACTCTTCCCTTTTTCCCAAATTTTGCATTTTAAGGTGAAGAAGCGAAAATACGACATGGCGTATATCAGCCACCATACATATAATTATGGTATTGATATGCAGTCATTCAACACCATTGTGCGTGTATGTTTGTTTGTTTTCGTGGGGTTTTAAGTCACATCATAACTGTGATGATCATATCATTACTGGTAGGGAAATACCTCAGGTGCACCTCCATGCATTATTGCAGGAACGACTAGATATTTGAGTAGACCCACCCACCTTTCGTGAGCTAGCTGATCAATATGTGTGTACTGTGATGTTGGCGGAGATAGGTATTATTTATGTACGATGCTAGGCCTCATTGCTCTACTAATCTGAATAATAAAACTCGTAATAGCAGATGTCAAGAAGTTTAGGTCCTCCATGATATTTGTTGGCAAGTCGTTAATAATGAGAACTGTTGAGCAGATGTTTGGGATGTAAAATATGTGTTGGTTCCATTGCTTTTGAATTACTTCATCTTTTATAGAATATTATTTGTATAGGTTTACGGAAACGAACCTTTTTATCTTTTTATTGAAAATTAGACAAGCATCTTGATTGGTCTAAACAAAGATAAACAAACAAAGAAACAACAGATAAATCTAACTTGAAAACTTTATTCCCCCAAAACACATTTTTTCAGTAGGATGAAATTTATTTAATAGACGGTTTGATTTCATGTAATGACAAATGGTAATAACGAGTTTATTCTGTACATAAAACTAACTGTAGGCGCGTTCAAATTAACTTTTTGTATATTTTTATTATGGATAAATAAGATGCCTAAAGATTCTTCACAATAGTAAACAAACACGAGAATAAATATGTATGAGTAACCTGACATAGGACGCTCAGATCGAAACTTAGTATTTATTAGGTGTTAAAATAACACATTGAACAATTTATCCAAATATGTCAACGTTGTAGCATTTTCCAAGTCATGTTTATTTATATCTAGTTTAGTCAATTTCCATTGATTTATATTGTGTCTATTTTTGTCTGTGTTTCTAATAAGACCCACAATGTAGAAATAAGGAATATTCAATATAGATAAATATAGATTTCTATATTTTTATGACTAGATTGTTGTTTATGTTCATTTATCACAGCTAATGGATGTCTTTCCAGTTGATACCAGATCGTCCGAATCGTAGACTTGGTAACGACATTGATTCCTTAATCTGTCGCTCCTTCATGTGGCTTATATATTGTTGAACACGTGACATTAAATCTTCCATTTGATGTCGCTTAGCGGCTGCAAAACATTATTGCAAAAAAGAGTCGTTATTATATTCAACCATATTTTTACAACGAAAATGAAGTCAAAGTTTATTTTTAATAAACATAGACAGATGAATGTCTTTGTTATACACATTTAGATATAAATATGATATGATACTCAAAATATAAAAAAGTAAGATGCATTCAAAACTACTTAACATTGAAAATAATTATAGTCAAGATTTCTTGGAGCTATTCATAACTAAAAACAGAAAAACAACTTCATAATTTGATAATAATTTCTTTCTTGTATCATTTGCATTCCGAAACATGGCAAAAGTAATTACTTATGGTAGATGTCGGAATGTAAATTTATATTTGACAACCCCGTATGTTAAATGCTGCTACAACCTATTGAATTTATTTGAAGATATATTAAAATCTCCAGTCATAACAACTTGACAGTTTCATCATCAAGAAGTGAGAATGTAACATCACAAAACCGGCATTGTCATCCTTACCTTTATGTCTCGCTTTCGAGTCAGCAGCCTCGTTTGTGTTTTCAAGGATTTCCTCTGGTGGCTTCATGTGCTCTTTAAGTACATCTCTAAACCGAAGTTTTTTCAGTAATAACTTCCTTAACCCTGGAACAAAATACTATATATGAATATATGAAATAAATTTAAAGTAATATTGATAGTATTCCATTTTTTATTATAATCATTTTTATTTTTCTATTTTGTTTTATTTAACATTCAAGTATCGTAATGATGTGATCTAACAATAACCTTTCTGTTTATAATATCCCCCACATATTTTATGGATGCTTTATATGAATTTTGAGCATGACAATTTCACCCACGGAGCATGATTGAAATAAAAATATAGACTTGGTTTTATCAAGTCTAGTTGTGAAACGCCCTGGTTCGTCGCAATTTACAAGCTACTGTCCGATACGCCTAAGGTATAAGCATAACTAAACATTTGAAAGCATAATGTGGTAAATTAAAACATTTTGTAACATCTGTTAATGTGATTATACAACGGTGATGATGGAACTTTTAATGCGACATTTTCTTACCATCCTACGACGAACTGTGTGGTTAACATTCATAAAATGGCTGAGGCCAAGACGAGACGAGAAAACTAAGGGCATGTTTAACAATTGTTTACAGATAATCGGGGTTGTTGTTTGCATTCAGTTGTCCAAAGGCAAGATTAAACATGAGACAAGATGATTCTCACTAGATACTTTTCTTGTCAGAAAAGTAAAATTACCCAAAGAGTAAGGATGTAATTTATTGAATAACAAAAACTCTGTTTGAAGGCACAGGAATACATTACGAATCCAACATTCTAAATCTATTGTGGATATTATAATTTTGGTCTACAATCATGACAATGTAGCCACTGGGCACCATCAGATATAGGCACTCCAAAAGCTGTAAAAAATATTTAAAGAAACAGATGGATCGACATATATATATCCAATAGATATTTTTTCTTTCGTTTTTGGTTTTATTTTTAAGTCCTGGTTATTTTGAGAAGAAACGTTTGATATCTAAAGAGATGTAAATTTCCTTTAAACAAGTAGTCTGCTTTTTGTTAATAAATTACGTTCGAAAAAAAAATTACTAGTATCGTGGTGTCGCTTGCTTTAATTTCAACAGTCTTACAGATCATCATCACTTTCATGCCCATAGAGGCAAGCACGAAACTTTCTTACAATATCACCTGTGGCGAAAACGTTGGAAAGTAATCTCAGTAGAAGGATCTATCTCTTACAGCAAGTCTAAATAAACATACCAGCATTGCCTCCTGTGTCGAGATCAAGAACATCTCTGTAGCCTGGTTCGGAAGGCGTTTCATCATCGTCATTTATATAAAATGCATCAGAGCAGATCAGGCAGTACGTCACTAATGTAGTAATGAATGCTAGAGAGACCTGGTTCATTTTGCTTCTTTTATCACTTAAAGTTGCTTAAGTTTTCTGCAATAAAATACATGAAAGTAGAGAAACAAATATAACGTAAGAGAAATTATATGAATTTGTGAAAATGTGTTGCAAGAAACTAGCAAACGTCTATCCTACGACAGATCCGCGTAACTGACCAATTTCCAATGTCGTTTGCATTCAGGCTACACGCTGTCTGGGAATTTTTACTTTTAAAAACTCCAAAAAAACAAGCATGGGAAGAATTTTTAAAATATATGGCCATCTCTTGGCCACTCGACAGATGAATTTAAGATCATTTTTATCCCCTTGTAGTAGAAGTTAACATATTGCTAAAGTCTGTGCTAATGTGTTAGAAAATATTGCATGTTTTGTATTACATAATAGTGCTGATTTTGATCGATACATAAATTGTTCGCAATTATACTCTCCCTTTAGAACTAACAATGTTAAAACTTAAAATAAATCGGATGGTACTAAGCGATTATAGTCTTTTTTTCTCTTTCACATACCAGGGTTCCCCAATATTCAAACTCTAATGATATGGTCCGGAAAAATTACGATTAAATTTATCCGGGATAAAAAATACAAAGTAATTTTTCGCTAGGGGAGAAGAAAGGGGGGGAAACATCAGTTTTAAAGAAATTCACAAATAGTTAATTAAAGTCATCGTCGTTGCCTTTCATAAAATATGTCTATGTTCGTTTTGTAAGTTTCCACCGCTCATAGTCAGAAAGCAAATTGTTAGGAGTGGATGAGCATGTCTCCACCGGAGCATATTCCGCCGTAGGTAATGGTTCCTCAAGTAAAAATCTATAAAACATATTAAAGTATGAACAAAATCAGTTCAAAATTCAAACGTCTCTTCCATTACTTAGATTTGTTCTTTCTTTGTGTTGGTTCGAAATTTGTGGTTTCTTTTGGTGTAACAGTTGAATATTTGTAGTTTTCCTTTTTGTTCTTTATTTCATTCTTTTGTATTTTTTGTTATTTTTTTTTGTCATTGTGAGTATGTTGTTGTTTTTTATGTTGTTGTTGTTGTTGTTGTTGTTGTTGTTGTTGTTGTTGTTGCTGTTGTTGTTGTGTTTTTTGTTGTTGTTTATTTATTTATTATTATTTCTTTATTTATTTATTTATTTATTTTTTAATTCGATTAAATAAGGGAGTGGAACCGTGGTTTCGTACATCACTATGACAATACGTGATTCTGTGCCCGCGCTTCGTAACATCACTATGACAATACGTGATTCAATTTGCGGAACAATAAAATTGTTAATCATACATTATTATGACATGTAAACTGATGTGTAATTCAAGTTTATCACTGTTGATACAACATGAATTAACACTTTGGGCTATAACCATTTTAGTTTTAACCAAACTATTAACCGGTCGACATAGAATTATGGTCGCTGTTGTATGGAAGGCAAATGCACACATTAGTAACAAATAAAGGAGGTGACAAATCATAAATAGAATGTATATGAACAAATGTAATCAAGTGTAGATTATCGTTATATGATAAGCATTGTCATAGTACATTTCAACCATAGTAACATATCACCGTTTGTTAATATATATATAACTGCATATATCTATTCAGTGTTTACACACTTGTAAATTGGTTATGTGCAATTACTTAGCTCTAAATAAGCTCGACCAAACTAGTTGATTTCCGTATTTAGTTTATTTACACGGAAAAAAATACGTTAAGACTATGTTTTACCTGGGAGAAATTTCGGAGACAACTTTTTTACAATATAACAACATGCTGTAACAGCATTTTACACAACAAAATTTTCCCGCAACAACATTTTTTTACATAGAAGCAAGCCATTTTACATGGGAAAATATGCCATTACAGCATTTTTAAAAAAGAATATGTTGAACTAGCTAAATTAAATTCGTTTTCTTTTATACGAACGATATGGGTAAGATACAGACTTTACGTAAATCGACCACTACTGAAAACGCGAGCATTTAATTTTGAAAGAAAAGATTTTTTTTTGAAATGCAAAAAGTTCATGTAGCCTCCATTTATCTAACTATAGACACCAACCGCTCATTTTCTGTTTGAATATTTTCCCAAGCAGATGAATACGTTTTTTTCATATATTTCAAATTTCCTTTCTCCTATGGAGTTAATTCAGTTTACCTAACAGTGCAAAGAGCAGTTATTCAATTGGCATCTAAAAGCGTTCAGCCGGCTCGTAATGAATTCAGTTGGTCATTAACTTGCCTGTAATCATGTTAATTAGCAAGTTATGGCTTCATGATCTCTACATACAACTTCAAGTATTTACCAACAATGTCATTCTGTGGTGAAAATGGCAATAGTTTGACATGTCTGGTAGTGTAAGGCGATACTTGAATAACTACAGAATAAGTCCATCATTGATGATTGATTTGTGATAATATGGTAACTTGCGGCTTCCGCCGGGTATGAAACACGCTGAACGCAATGGTTAATGGCAAAAAAGCTTTTATTGTCATATTTGTAAAACGCATTATCTGCATTGTTTCACTTTTTAATTTTGTTGAGGTGGTTGGGGGGGGATAACGTCACATCATTACAATGACGGTTATCTGTTATTCATCAACATGTAAATAATAATTTTGTTTCAAGGAAATGACAATATCTAGTTATTTGGTATTCAATCAATAATTCATAGTGTAGCCATATATTGATAGTTTGTTTTTTCACTAGATTGTTTTTTGAGGTTAGCTTGATATGGAAGCTCCCCGCACAAGCATACATCCTGACAATACACGTGCATTAAACATTTACCGCTAAGTCAAAATAGAATAAAAAGTTATGTATTCCTTTGTTGTGTATCTATTTGTTATAAATGACATAAAAGAAAATAGAAAGGCCGAAACCTATATCGATCATGATTATTTTTTTAATATAAAGTATAATAATAAATCAACAGAAATAAATCTCAAACAAAATAATCATGTGACATTGAACACTTTATATATTAAATATATATCATATATAGAAATGTATAATTATTGCACAACTTCTTTTGTTAACAGCCTGCACGTGTTTTTAAATTATTATTTAAACGCCATATCATTGTTCTTGTTGAATTATTTAGTTATACTGAAGCCAGTGCTGGGGGGGGGGGCATGGGTGGTAAATTGCATTTAGCACTGTGACTCAATTAAACCGAGTCTGCAACATTTATAATTTTGCCTCGTTTGACGTCCGTCAACTGTTTAAATTGTATCTATATCACTAATTTGGAACAGATTGTATGAAGATAACTATGAGCAGTTATATTACTACTCTGCAAACATATTATGACCAATATGCAAATACTAAACTAAATATCTGGCCGTGAAATACAATCAGTGATTGTGCTTTAACAATATCAATATACGTGCAAATAACTCCAAACAGTTTTCCTCGAAACACTTTATTTTGTATTGCATTATTTGTAGATTGATAATTCTAGTGCGAATAGATATAAAATATGTGATTATGTCATTTAACTGTTGGCATAATACAATTTCTTATTTATATGCATGTACATCATATGCTAATAGAGAATGACGAACGCTTACAGCTTGTATAGTATAACAAAAAATGAAAGTGTCACACACTCAGTCTGATTTAATATTTTCATGGGTGTTTTTATCAATGCAATCTAATATCCATGCCCCTTAGCACCGGCTTAAGCAAACTTTAATGTTCCAATTTTTTTCTTCAAAGATATGCTTGAAGCGGCGTTCTTTTTTTTTGACAATCGTATATATTTATGTGTTAGGTAGTTTTGTATATGTAATAGTAGATGCTGCTTTTTTCCCATTCAGTTACATTGACAAATTTAGCCGGTCTTTTCTATATATTTCCAGAACAACTCAAACTGTATCACAAACAAAAATATGTGTTCTTCTCAACCATTGAATATGTTTTATTCCCCACCCTATGTGAAGTAACTGGAAAGCAAGTCAGGCAATTGGCATAAACTTGGTAATCATAGGAAAGGTCCATGGCATAGTAAGTCAGCCAATTTGCATAAAACTGTAATCATGAGAAGGTCCATCGGAAAGCAAGTTAGCCAATAATATTTGCATTAAACTGTAACCATAGAAAGCGTCCATGGGAAAGCAAGCCACCTAATGTGCATAAAACAGTAAACAATGGAAAAGTCCATGTGATAGTCAGCTAATGTGCATAAAACAGTTAACAATGGAAACGTTCATATGATAGTCAGCCAATTTGTATAAAACAGTTAACAATGGAAACGTTCATATGACAGTCAGCCAATTTGCATAAAACAGTTAACAATGGTAACGTTCATATGATAGTCAGCCAATTTGTATAGCATAGTAAATATTAAAAAAGGTCCATGGGATAGCAAGTTAACTAATTTGCCTAAAACTTTGAAAAGGTATGTTACATAGTAAGTCAGTCAATTTGCATAAAACTTTAAACACTGGAAAAGACTATTACATGGCTCGCTGATATTTTGAGGAAAGGACATACACTTGTAGTGATTATAAGAAGAGATTACAATGACTGTCAATAGATTGGATGGATTATACGAGAAGTTCGTGCACATTAGCTAATTACCATCTCTCGGACGCAATTATTTCCGTTGTGTCTGTTAAATGTCAAAACATATTCTTTCATTTCTGTCACTTTGCTAATCTCCGTGTACTTAGCTTGGTAAAAAAAATAATAGCCTTTCGAATCTTGACTTTGTCACATTGAAGGTTCCATGATAACTGCCATATGAACACATCTGCGGATGATTAAAAATTGTACCAGTTCATCAGTTCATGTTAAATGTTGAATTTGGCTTAAGCCTGTGCTAGGAGGCGTGGACGGTAGTTTGCACTTGACAGTGCCGTCCATGAACAGGCTCAATAAAACTGAGCCTGCAACATTTTCAGTTTTGCCGTGTTGGGTTTACTTTAGGGATTCTTATCTCCTCTATTATTTTTTCACAAAAAAGATCAGAATTTTGTTTGTATTAAATGTGAGTCACGTGGCAAAGAAAGTTGAGCGGAAAAGCGTCAAGTAT